AAGGAACAATGTTTGGACTGTGGGAGGAAACCAGAGCACCCGATGGAAACCCACATAGACACAGGGAAACAGACACTACTAAACAGTCATCTTTTTAAACATCTCAGATAGTCAGACAGGAACCCCCTATAATAAATCTATGCTGACTATCCCTGATCAAACCCTGCCTTTCAAAGTGTTGATTAATACTGTCCTTCAGAATTTTTTTCCAATCATTTCCCTACCACTAACTGGTCTGTGATTATTTGGTCTATCCCTGCTGCTCCTCTTTAATAAAGGAACCACATTAGCTATCCCTCAGTCATCTGGCACTTCACCTGTGGCCAGTGAAGCATTAAATATCTCCTCCAGTGGCCCAACAATTTCCGGACTTGCCTCCCATAGCAGTCTGATCTCACCAGGATCTGAAATCTCCAGCTACAATATATTTCACCACTGTGAGTACAGAGGAGAAGCATAAATTTACGACTTGTCCCACATCCATTGGCTCCAAGCATAGATTGTCCTCTTGAAGAGGTCTTGTTCTTTCCCTGGGAATCTTCTTACTCATAACAAAAATGTAAAAGAACCTCGGGGTTTTCCTTGATTCCACCTGCAAAAGATATATTATGTTCCCTCTTTACTTTCCTAATTTCCTTTTTAAGCAACCTCCTATATTCTATACTTTTGAAGGGCCTCCCCCGTTTATAATGTACTGGACCTGACATATACTTGCTTCTTTTTCTTTATCAAACTCTCAGTCTCCCTTGATATCCAGGGCTCCTTGGACTTTCTGCCCTTGCCTTTCACTCCTAGAGGAAGATGCTGGCCCTGAACTCTTACTATACTACTTTTAATAGACTCCCACTTTCCATGTGTAGACTTATCTATAAGTAGCTGTTCCCACTCTATGTTTGCCAGACCGTGTCTAATGATATTGACTTTGACATTCCCCCACTTTAGACACTTAACTTCTTCCCTATCCTTATCCCTTTCGATATTGACTTTGAAACTTAGAGTTATGGTCACTCTCACCAAAATGATCACTCACAAACTTTAACCACTTGACTGGCTTCATTCCATTGGATTAGGTCTGGTACTGCCTTATCCCTAGTAAGACAATCTACATACTGGCACAAAGATCTCCTGAATGCACTTTAAAAATTCCAACCCATCTAATCCTTTCACACTAAGGCAATTCCAGTTAATGTTAGTAAAACTGAAGTTCCCTATAATCCTGTTTCTCTCACACCTTTTTGTGATTTGCCTACATATCTGCTTTTCTATCTCCCTGACTGTTAGGAGACCTGTGGTATAATTCTAGCAAAGTGATTGCCCTATTTTTTATTTCTAACCTGTACCTAGATGGCCTCAAAGTCTGTTCTGGGACATCTTCCTACATTTCTGTCGTGATAGTTTTCTTTATTGATAATGCACTGCCCCACCTCTCTTACTTATCTCCCCGTTGCACCTGAAACTTCTATACCCTGGAATGTGGAGCTGCCAGTTCTGTCCTTTGTTCAGCCATGTCTCAGTGACTGCAACAATATTATATTCCCCAGGTGCTAATCATTGCTGTAAGTTCATCCACCTTACCAGTCAGGCTCCTTGCATGAAAATTGGTATAATTTAGCTTTCAAATCCTCCACGTGCCTTATCCTGCCCAGGTATTCTCCGCTTACTGGACTGTCCTAGTCTTCCTCATATGTGTGATTGGACCTTGCTCCTGACTTTACATTTACTCTGTGGCCCATCCCCCTGCCAGACCAGTTTAAAATCTCTGTAACAGCACAAGCAAAACCTCCCAGGAAGGATATTGAACCTATTCCAGTTCAGGTGCAACCTGTCCCGTTGGTGCAGGATAGACAAACAGGAGGCTGGAAGAACACAGCAAGCCAGGCAGCATCTGGAGGAAAGGAGCAGTCAATGTTTCAGGTATTACCCTTCTTCAGGACTGGATGTGGGGACAGGAGCTGCAGATAAAAAGGTGGGGAGGGGCGGGGAGCGAAGCAATATTGTGGTGATAGGTGGTCACTGGTACTAGATACGACCTGCCTCGTCGACGGGAGGGATGAATCCGATTAGTAGCTGGAATGGAGGGTCAGAACATGGAAGGGGAATGAGGAGATGTGGCTAGAAGGGGAACCAGGGGATGGGTGGGAAGGTTATTTGAAATTGCAGAACTCAGCATGGAGTTGTCTGGGTTATAGAGTGTCCAGGTGGAAGATAAAGGTGCTGTTCTTCAAATTTGCATTGTGAGTCATTGCGAACTGGAGGAGGCTGAGGACAGACATGTTGGAGGGGGAGTGGGGTGGGGAGTTGAAATGGGTGGTGACCAGGAGGTTAGGTTGGCCGTTACAGGCCAGGTGAAGATGCTCAGTGAAACAGTCACCTAGTCTACATTTGGTCTCACTGACGTAGAGAAGACCACATCAGGAGCGCCAAATGCAATAGACTAGTTTGGAGAAGATGCGGGTGAAGCTCTGTTTCACTTGCAAGTGCTGTTTAGGGCCCTGAATGGAGGGGAGGAAGGTGGTGTGCGGACAGGAATTGTATCTTTTATGGTTACAGGGGAAGGTACTGGGCGGGTTGGAGTGGTTGGCAGGGACTGTGGCACAAACTAAGTAGTGGCAAAGGGAATGGTCCTTGCAGAAGGCAGAGAGGGGTGGGGAGTGGAAGATTTTCCGGGTGGTGGGGTCTAATCGGAGTTGGCAGAAGGTTTGTGGATGATATGTTGGAAAGTGAGAACAAGGGGGAGCTTATCTTTATTATGTTTGGAGGGGTGGGGAGGTTAAGAGCTGTGGAGTGGTGAATGGAGGAGGTGTGGTGGAGAGCAGTCTGGATGACAGAGTGGGGATAACAGCGTTGAAAGGTGGACATCCAGGACGCTTGGGAGTGGAACATCTCCTCGTCAGAGCAGATGCAACGGAGATGGAGGAATTGGGAAAACAGATAGAGTTTTTGCAGTATACAGGGTGGGAGAGGTGTAGTCTAGATAACTAAGGGAGTCTGTGGGTTTATAGTAAATGTCAGTCCATACACTGTCACCAGAATGGAAATGGAGAGGTGAAGAAAGGGGAGGGAGTTGTCTGAGATCGATCAAGTGAATTTGAGGGCGGGGTGGAATTTGTTGGCGAGGACGATGAATTGCTCCAGTTCACTCTGGGTGTGGGATGCTGCACCGATACAGTCACTGATGTAATGGCGGAAGAGTTTGGAAACAGTACTGGTGCACGTAGTGAAGAGGGCATGTTCGACATAACCTACAAAGAGGCAGGCGTAGCTCGGGCCCATGCGAGTGCCTGTGGCAAACCCCTGGATTTGAAGAAAGTGGGAAGAATTGAAGGAAAAGTTATTGAGGGTGAGGACTAGTTCAGTGAGGCAGAGCAGGGTATTGGTGAGGGTGCTGTATGGATGTGTTGCAGAGGAAAAAAAAACAGAGGCCTGCAGGCTCTCCTTGTGGGGTATGGACACGTACAGAGATTGAACATCCATAGTAAGGATGAAGCACTGGGGCCAGTGAACCAGAAATTACCAAAGACGTGGAGGGAGTGGTTTGTGTCTCGGATGTAGGTGAGGAGTGCCTGGACGAAGGGGGAGAGAATTGAGCCAAGGTAGGAAGAGATGAGTTCTGTGGGGCAGGAGCACGCGGAGACGATGGGTCGGCCAGGGTAGTTGGGCTTGTGGATCTTGGGGAGCAGGTAGAACCGTGCAGTGCGGGGCTGGGGACCTATAAGGCTGGAGGTAGTGGAGGGAAGGTCACCGGAAGCGATGAAGTCATAGACAGTGTGGGAAGACGGTGGCTTGATGGGCTATGGTGGTGTCCTGGTCAAGGGGGAGGTAGGACATGGTAAGAGTTGGCGTTCGGCCTCTGCAACATAGAGGGCTGTCCTCCAGACTACTACCGCCCCTGCCTTTGTCAACGAGTTTGATAGCGAAACAGGGATTGGTGCAGTGAGAGTGGACCGCTGCATGTTCAAAGGGAGGGGTGAGGGGTTGGAAAAGTCAACGCGATCGATGTTGTGTTGGCAGTTAGCAATGAAGAGGTGAAAGGTGGGTAAGAGGCTGGCAAGGGGTGTCCAAGAGGAGGAGGAAGGTTGGAGGTGGATGAAGGCGTTTCAGAATGGTGTATGGGAGTCTTTATCAAAGAAGAAAGCATGGAGGCGGAGATGGCTGAAGAAGAATTCCACATTTTGGTGGGCACGGAACTCATTGAGGTGGGGGAGGAGGGGCACGAAAGTGATCCCTTCACTGAGGACAGCCCATTTGTCCTCAGAGAGTTTGAGGTCAGGGGAATGGTGAATATGTGGCAAGGTTCATGGATAGGGTTTTGGGGGGTCTCGAGGAGGCTGAAGGAGGGGATGGGGAAGGGAGATATCAGGTGATGGTTGAGAGCTGGACGCGATGTGGTTGGGGGGTAGTAGTTGTGGGAGGGTAGTGGGATGGAGGACTCCACCTACCCCAGAAGCTGGCCCAACGATCCAAAAATCAAAACCTCTCTCTCCTAAACCATCCTTTCAGCCACTCATTCATCTAGCCTACTTTCCTAATCCTATACTCAGTTGCGCATGGCACTGGAAGTAATCTGGACATTACAACCTTAGCAGTCTTCCTCATTAAATTTGCTGCCTAACTCCCTCAATTTCAAATTCCTGCTGCAAGAATTTTTTTTTTTTTTTTAAAACTCGTCATTGGCACCGACATGCACCATGACTGCTGGCTGTTTACCCTCCTTGGTCAGAATGCCTTAGAGCCACAAGTCAGTCAGAAGCTCCCAGCAACGCATTAGTTCTAAACCACTGGATTGCTGTTGTTTTACTTCCTCATATGAGCAGGCACAAGATTAATTATCTGGTAAACATCTGTCCCAAAAGAAGATAAATATCTAACACCAATTTAGTTAGCTGTGCTCATTAACCCATGCTGTAAAAATGTCATGTTTAGAAAAAAATCACTTACAGAAGGCATATAGAACTAGGATGGAGACAATTCATGATTCATTATAAACAACTTGTACTAACCTTCCACACAGACATCATTCCACTCAAAGCTGGTTTGCAGACAAACACAGAATCTCCACCCTTTAGCTTCATTGGTTAGTTAAAAGCACGATTACACCCATTAACCAATGAAAGCAAAGCTGTCTTGTTTGTAATTAACCAAGATTCCAGCATCTCCTAGGAACAGATGTACCTGTATCAGACTATAGTTAAAACTTCCATTCAATCAAAAGTTATTACAATTAAAATAAGACTCTGATTGCAGAGCTTTGAGTAGAAAAGTGGGTTAAGTTTGTGATGGCTTGATTACTCAGTTGCTTCTTCCTTTCACAGCCACTGGTTTCAGTGATGAAAGGAAATAAATTAAATCTTCACTCTCTGATAACACCTCAAGAAAGTCATGGGTTCAAATCTCATTCCAGAGGCTTGAACACTAAATCTAGGTAGATGTTTCTGATGCAGAACTGGGAGCACTGTATGGTTGGAAGTGCATCTTCTACAGAATAGATGAAGAATTCATAAAAACAAAAAGAACTGCGGATGCTGTAAAGCAGGAACAATAACAGAAGTTGCTGGAAAAGCTCAGCAGGTCTGGCAGCATCTCTGAAGAAGGGTGACTGGACCCAAAACCTTAACTGATTTTTCCTTCACAGATGATGAAGAATTCATTTCTGACATGAAATGTTAACTCTCCTTCTCTCTCTCCACTGACACTGCCAGTCCTTCTGAGTTTCACAGGTTTTCTGCTTTTATTCCATCATTACTTGTGCAGCTAGTACCTGCATTTATGATAATGTGGTTGTAGATTAAATTATTATAAACTGAAGTTTTCACAGGAAGAGCGAAGTGAGAGCACTCTGAATCACAGGAGTGGAATACACCCTCACCATTTATTTTTAATTGATGATTAGAAATTCTGTGATAACTCAACTCCTGACTCCCCAAAGCTTGTGATCTACAAGACACACGTCAGGAGTATGATGGAATGCTCCCCACTTGCCTGGATGGGTACAGCTCCAACATCACTCAAGAAGCTTAACACTATCCAGGGCAAAGCAGCCTGTTTAAGATATCCACAAATATGCACTGCCTCCACCACCAACACTCTGGAGCAGCAGTGTGTACTATCTATAAGATGCACTGTGAACCCACAACAACTTCCTTTTAGAAGGACAAGAACAATGGATACATGGGAACACCACCACTTGCACATTCTCCTCCAAGCTACTCACTATCCTGACTTGGAAATATATTGCCTGCCAAATCCTGGAATTTCATCCCTAAGGGCATTGTGGGTCAACAGCACAGGACTACAGTGGTTTGAGAAGGCAGCTCACCAACACCTTCTCAAGAGCAACTAGGAACAGGCAATAAATGCTGGCCAGTCAGCAATGCCCACACCCCACGAGTCAATTAAAAAATAATCATTTGGAAATAAAATTCAGGTGGTTTCTGTCATAGATAAGTGATCTTCAATGTCAGTTTAGGGTTCTTGTAATTCAGTGATTGTATCCCCACCTTTGGGGTCAGGAGGTCTAGGTTCAAGTCCCATCTGCTCCAAAGATATGTAATAACATCTCTGAACAGGCTGATTAGAAAATAACTTCAATGTCAGTTTCCTGTCAAGCTGAGTCCGTAACCTCTACCGAGCCCAGGTACCCAATCTAATACAAATAAAATGGATGTATTCAAGCTGTCTAATACAGTGACACAATGAATAAACAGAAACTTACAGTTTAAGGGAGCAGAATATTAGTAAATTAAAACCCTTGAAATCTCAAGTCATGAGAGATGAATTTGGATTTGGTTGAACCACACTAGTGGTCTAGATCTTAACAGACACTCTTAGCCATTGCAATGATGTTATTTTAATGGAATTCAACTCAAATGAAACCAGACCCACAGAACCTCCACAGCAGCCAAATCCAGATGTGTGTGATGCAACAATAGTTGTTATCATCCTAAAATAGCACAATAGAAAAAGTCACTCACATCATTTTAATATTTATCAGTGTTCAACATCAATAACTACAACAACAACTGGGCAAAAGTGTATCAAATATAACCAGTTTTCAATTGACTGCATGTAACAAGGCCTGGTTAAGTTGTCCAACTGGACCAATCACATGATAGCTTGCAACACTAGGTTGCATTTATATAGCACCGGAACAGGCTCGAGGGTTAACTGGCCTATTCCTGTTCCTATGGTCTTTAACATAGTAAAATGACTCAAAATGCTTCACAGGAGCATTACTAAATACATTTTGACACCAAGCCATATATCAGGGAGAAATAGCAAGTTAAAGGTTATCTTAAAGCAGAAAACAGGGTAAGAGATGTTTCAGGAAGGAATTCCAGACTTTAGGGCCCAAGTGGCTGAAACTGTGGCTACACGTGATGTGCAGGTAAAAACCAAGGATATACGTTAGATTTGGAGGAGCAAGGAGAAATTAGAGGTTTGTAAGGGTTGAGGAAGTTACTGGGATAGAGAGGGACAATGCTAAAGTGGGATTTAAAAACAAAATTTGTATTTTTAAGTTGAGGTGTTGCCGCTCCAGGAACCAATGCAGTTCAGTAAACACAGAGGTAATGAGTGAATGGGACATGTTGCAGAATTCATAAATACTGGTCATATGTTGAAATATGTTAGGGTAATCTAAAAATTTAGGAGATTGGATCTGAAATGGGTATGTTGAGATATGTCTTCGTAACCATTTATATCCCTATATGGACGTGGTGTGCCAACTGGAATTCACAATGTACAGTATAATTCTGGTTTCATTGGTTGTACTTTATATCAAATTGTCTAATTTAGTAGGCCAGCATAACTGCAGCCTTAGTTGCAATATACAGGCAACACTCAGACTTTTTTTTATGCATACGGGAATCAAAAGTTATGGGTGGCAGGTAAGAAAGTAAGGTTAAGGCCATAGTCAAAGTTTTGAATGTTGGAGCTGGATTGATGGATTGAATTGTCAAGTCCTGCTCCTATTTCTTAGGTTCTTATGAGGATACTATTTTTAAGTTATCTCAACCATGCCACAAGATCTTTACCCAGAGAGTGGGTTACACATCTTCTGATCCTGCTGATGGTAAAACTGGATACGTCAGATCTAGCGGGAAGTTTGGCTTGATTGACCATATCTTTTATTTTTGTAGTTTGTTTACCATGATTGTCTGTCACTGAACACATTCACAAGAGGCTGCTAATGTACTTTTAACAAACCAACATCAAAGTTTGTTACACATAAATGGAAAAAGCACAAGCTATTTTACACTATATAAGAATTATCAGCAATGGTTTAACTACAAATATGAGCAATAAAAATTCAACCCATTTTTATCTCAATAACATCCTTGCAGATGCTCAAACTTTACTGAAGGGTCTACCTGTTTCCACTTTAAAGATCAGCTGGTGCTGCCATACTTGGTTTCTTTCTGGCAAAATTCTTGATCCATCTCTGCTAGCTTCATGTTTTAAAGTCTCTTCATGAAATCCTTAAACAACAGCTAAATCAGCTGACTTATTTCTTAACATGAGTGAATTGAACTGACTTCTACAGTCCTCTGTTTCTGGAGCTTCTCAGGATTTCATTCTCCTGTCCTGATTGCTCCGGAGACTGATAAACTGCACTGCTACTGGTAAAGGCCTACACACATAAAGTAACCTACACACACACAAACTCTGAAAGAAATCTTCACACTGACTGAAAGTATGGAGCGGTTTCTCTCTCTAAAGGAAATTGTTTCTATCTCTGTCTTAGTCTGCCTGTGTCCTAAGACACATGATTGATAGGCAACAATCCTTTATTTTTCTCTCTGTTATTCCTAAATCACTAAGCAGATCACCTCAAAGGGTTAAAAGCTTCTTCGGGATGCATGTAAACAAAATTCCAGACATCTTATCATAATACACAGAATTCAAGAATGAAACTAAATTAGGTCCATCCTTCTTAACCCACACAATATAGAAGTATTGAGGTCATGGCCTAGTGGTATTATTGCTGGACTGTTAATCGAGAGACCCAGACAACGTTCTGGGGACCTGGGTTTGAATCCCGCCATGACAGATGGTGGAATTTGAATTCAATAACCATCACCAAGTCACCCCTTATTTACACATGCTTAGTACTAGACACTGGTCTGGCTTCCTCAGAGCCAGCTCTCAGGGCCAACAGAATTTCTGATACTCCTGTTTATATCTGTCGGCCAAGGCTCCCTGATTGGACCAGGTTGACAGCCCCAATCGGAGAACTCATAATCGATGAGGTCCACCTGGCTACTCTTACTACATCTGCCCCTTCTAAGTCCAGGGACATAGGCTTGATCTTTTTCTTGTAACCTCTCTTGGGCCATTTTCACACTCGGTCCAGTTCCACTGACTCACCCTCTGTTACGGGCGGTATGTACCGGACTGTACCTGCCTTTTGTGCCTGGAGCATCTGGGAAAAATATTTGTTCACTTTTTCAGGCAGCAAGGTGTTGAGGCTGCGACATTCCATGTCCATCTCATACTCCGAAGATTATTCAACACTGAACAAATGGGTTCGAGCAGCCTTTCCAGTTGTTCGGAGGGGCTGGCTATGTTTTGCTTCTGTCCTGTTTGCGAGTTTGCAGCTTTCATGTGGTTCACATGCTTATTCAGGACCACCTCACCTACCCAAGCATTGTACACCACAGGAGCTGACCTCGCGTTGACCATGCCTCTTACCCATGCAGGGCCATTTCCATCGTTTTGGTACCAAACTCCATCCCCTGAAGAAAACTGTCTTTCTCGCTTCGAGGAGTCTTGTGTAAAATCCTATCACCAAATCATCCATTATTTATACATGCATAGTACTTGACACTGGTCCAGTCTCCTCAGAGTGAGCAGAACCTCTGACACTCCTGTTTATAGCTGTCACGCAGGCCTTTCTGATTGGACCAGATTAACAGCCCCAATCAGAGAACTTATATTCTATGATATCCACCTGGGCTGACCTTGTTACAATCACTACAGTAGGTAAGTATATGAAGGAGAAAGGAACGGAAAGCTATGTTGTTTTGGAGGGCAGAGGTGGGAGGGAGCTCATATGGAGTACAAACACTGGTACACTCTCGTAGGAGGTACCAAACATATGACCTTTACCCTTTGATGTTGCTCACTGACTCTCTTGCCATTGGTCAGCCAACATGAT